CCCTCTGGTCTGGTCCTGTGGTTCTGAGGCCTCCACCTGGAGGCAGGTTGCTGCTGGATCTGCTTAGGTTTGTCGGGGCCATAACCCTGCTTGTCACCCCTCCAATTCCCTGCAAACCCTGATACTGTCCAGGAGAAGAGCCCCCTTCCTCCCCGCCACCCCCCTCATCCCCACCACTGCACTTACGTGCACCCAGGGCAGCAGGTGTGAGGAGAGAGAAAGCGAGAGTTAGCAGAGGCCTGGGGAACAGGAGTGACCGGGAGTGAGCAGGGGCTTGGGGAGGCTGCACCAAGTACCACCAAGTACCCTCTGGGTGGACCAAAGGATGGACAGACGGGCAGTCCCATGGTGGGTCCAGCAGGGTGCGGTGGGTGTGCAGAGCGAGAGGGCAGCCAGCACGCACGCAGAGGCTCACCATGTGCACATGGCTGGCGGCACAGGATCCCCGCCCTGGACTCTGCTCCAGCACACTGGGGGCCCCGGGCTGCGGAGGGGAGGTGAGATGGGGGGGATGCAGTTCCAGTGGCCTGCTGACCCCCTTTAAGACTAAGTTCCGCCTCCCAGACCCCATGTGGAAACTGACACTCAAAGGAACTTGGGAACAGAGTCCCAACCTAGCCTTCAGCTGTCTCTTCTCTGCTCACCAACCCCAAATGGCCTGTCCACCAGGCCTCCCCACAGCCCCAGTTGCTCCCAGTCTGTGAACTCAGTCCCCACACCGCAGCGGAGGCCACCCCCACTCTGCCTCCTCCTGAGGGTCTGCAGTTCCCGCAGTCTGGTGTCCCAGTGACTCTCCCTTGGGCCCAGAGAGAAGCTGGCTTGTACTGTGGTCTAGGGATGGAGACCTGGGTTCTGATGAGCAGAAATGCAATTAAGTCACAAAGCAAGAACGTCCTGCCCCCACCAGGATCTCCAAGGCAGGTCCTTCCATAGGCTCAAAACGGTGGTCCTGAGAGCACCTGTCAGGGAAGCACACTGACCCCTGCACTGGCCAGTGACCCCACACCCTCACCACGGGTGGGCTCACCGGGGGCCTGTTCACCAGCCAGTAGGTCTGCTCTTGGCACGCAATGACCAGCCTGTCCCCCTTCCTGCGCTGCTTGGCTGCCCTGGGAGGAGGAGGCTGAGTTGAGGGCATGCCCTGCACACAGCAGGCCCTCGGGCCTGGACCTGGGCAGGCAGCCACACCCAGAGGTGCCCTCCACAGTCCCAGGGCCACCAGAACCTGGCCTGGTGCTGGGCTTCCTGAGTTGCCTGGGTTAGGCACCTGCAGGCGGGGCGGGGCGGGGCCTCACCGCAGCTGCTCCCTGGCCTGCATCAGCACCAGGTCCCACGCATGGTTGATCTTCGTGTGTAGCTGGTCATAGCACTCCTGGGGGCAGCAAAGTCTCCAGTGGGTCACCCTGGCCCTTGCCCCCAGTGAGACTGTGTGGGGAGTGGGGGGTTGGGAACTGTCTTGGGTCTTGGGGCCTGGGCTGTATGTTCCGGGGTAAATCATGAGGCCCTGGGAGCCATGAATGAGGCTTGGGTTCCTCCAGCTGGACCCAGCCGGGACGGGGCGGGTGGGGGTCCCACCTTCTCATAGTCCACCAGGGTCCCCTGTTTTCGGATGTTCTTCTTGGCCAGGTAGATGGCTAGAAGGACAGGGACAGCCTGCAGAGGGGCCAGCTCTGCCCTGCCCCACAGCATCACCCTGAGGCCCCCAGTCCTGGGAGCTTGTCTGGGGCCAGCCGTCCCCTTGCTCACCATAGTCCAGCTCTGCAGCCGGCCACAGGGTACTTGTCCAGAAGTACGGGGTCTGGCGTGGTGCAGGGAGAAGGTGTCCAGGACGCCTGCGTCTGTGCCTCCCCAGTGTCACCCCACCCTCAGACCTCCCTGGGAAGAAGCCTGGGCTGGGCAGGGGGTGTCTGAGGGTCTCCCTGCCTGCCCACCACCCAGAGACTCCACTGACCACTGGCCAGTCTCTCCACCTGGAACTGAGGCCAGCTCGCTTCTTGGGGTCCTGTTGAGGGACTGCCTCCCTCACTGGTCACCCTAAGCCCCCATTCAGGGCAGGGTGGGACTGGGGGCCTGCAGAAGTCTTGGATGTAGTCACTGTCTGTGCCTGGGGAGGGGTACAACTGACGGCAGGTGGGCCCAGGATCCTGATGTGGTTAGGGAGGGCAAGAATGCTGTCCTCAGGCCTCCACAGCCCCTCCCTCAGGGACTGGGCCTAAGAATCCCCAGGAAGAGGGCAGAATCCTCTGCAGATACAACCGTCGTGAGGCCCTGCTGTGGCCCTCAGGAAAACTGAGGCCCCATCCCTCAGCCGGGTCCTTCTCACCACATGGGTACTCGCAGTCCAGGACTTTTGGGGAGGGGGCAGTGGACCACCAGCCCACGGTGACATGGCGAAGTCCCACTCCAATCCCAGCAAGCTCGGCAGCCCCCCCCGGCTCCCCGAGTTGGTAAGTTGGGTGGGTGGAGGTGGGGGTCCCACCGGCTCCCACCTGCGCCCCAGAGTCTGACCTGGAACCTGTAGGGCGTCTCGTCTGGCCGGAGCACGAGGCTACGGGGGTCGCGCAGCGGGTAGATGTAGCCGTGCTGCACCAGGACGGCGCCCAGGTGCCGGGCCTCTGGGGACGGGTGGGACGGTGAGCGCGGGGCTGTGGAAGCGGTCAAGGGCGGAAGAGCCGGGCCTCCCCTCCCGCATGTGCTCCCCGCTCCAGCGCGCTCTGCAGGGCTCTGAGAACTGCCAGCCCCCAGGAAAACCCAGGCCTAGGCCACCAGCCCAGTGACCCCAGGGCCCAGCGGGCGGCAGGGCGCTCACCCTCCTCCGAGATGCAGAACTTCTGGGTTAACCACTGCACGACGTCGCTGCCTGCACGGGAGAGACGGAGGTGGAGGGAGGCCGAGGCGCGCGCGCACCCCCGCCCTGACGCGCCTCACCTGTCACCGCGTGGGGAATGACGGTGACCAGCAGGCGCTGGCTCCGCATCTTCACGCCCTGGTCGGGGTCCTGCATGCTCACGACCACCCGCTCCATCTGGGCGGAGGGAGCCGTCAGGGGCTGCTCTGGCCGCCCCCGCAGCCCTGATTCCCTGGCACCGCACCGGCCGGGATGCCCCGGATCCGGGAACAAGGAGATTAAGGCGCGGCGGCGGCGGATTCCAGGCCGCAGCTGGCTGCGGGGACGCGGGGCGGGCCGGGGAGGGCCGGGGAAGACCCCGGGAGACCCCCAAGGGGCCCCAGGCCTCGCCCCCCTGCCCGGCCTCGCAGAGCCGCCGCCCCGCCCCGCGCGCCCCGGTGCCTCCTGCTCTCCGGCCCCTCCCGGCCTCGGGCGCCGGGAAATCGGGGGTCGGCGGGACCCCCACCTGCCTCGCACCTTCCTTAGATGCGGCATCTGCGCCCGGGGGCGGCCGGGGGGAGGCGCGGGGCCGGCGGCCATGGCTGCGGGGCGAGGACGGCGGGGATGACCGAGCGCCCCGCCCAGCCCCGCCCGCCCCGCGCCGCGCCCGGGTTAACCCTCGGGCCGTGAGTCCAGAGTCGCCAGGCCCCAGTTCGGGGCTAAGAGTCACGGCCACGGCCCAGAGGCAAAGGAGCCGGCGCCCCACGAGCTACCTGAGTCCCCCCCCCAAGTCCCGGGACGCTGAGGCCCTCATGGGTGGAGGCGAAGTGGGACAGGGGGCGTGGGCCTGGGACCGAGGGGGGATGTGAGGGGACGGGGCTGAGCTGGAGCCGGGGGTGGTCGCTGGGAGAGGGAGAGGGGCTCATCAGGGAGGGGGGTTAACCATGGGGAGGGTCTCAGGGAGGGCAGCGGAGGGGATGGGGGTTCGGAGAGGGAGAGGGGTTCCGTGAGTAGAGGAGACCCATAGGGAGAGTGAACTGGGGTGGGAAACGTGGTTTAGGGTCCACTGTAGCCCTGGTCCTATGTGTGGGGCCCTGAGGACATTGAGGGACCAGCGACCTGGCTGTGGGGCCGGGGCCAGGGCCAGGGGCCTGGTATCCTGCGATGCCTGTGGCCAAGGCTGCACACGTTGCTGTGGCAGTGGCTGGTTTGGGGCATGAGAGGTTGGGTGCCCACACCAGCTGTCTGGCTTTCTTTTTTTTTTTTTTTTTTTTGAGACGGAGTCTCGCTCTGTCGCCCAGGCTGGAGTGCAGCCTGGTCCCTGCACTCCAGCTCACTGTAAGCTCCGCCTCCCGGGATCTCAGCTCACTGTAAGCTCCGCCTCCCGGGTTCACGCCATTCTCCTGCCTCAGCCTCCCGGGCAGCTGGGACTACAGGCGCCGCCACCTCGCCCGGCTAGTTTTTTGTATTTTTTTAGTAGAGACGGGGTTTCACCGTGTTAGCCAGGATGGTCTCGATCTCCTGACCTCGTGATCCGCCTGTCTCGGCCTCCCAAAGTGCTGGGATTACAGGCTTGAGCCACCGCGCCCGGCCCTAGCTGTCTGGCTTTCTACACATGCTGGATGCCCGGTGTCAGTGGAGCACGTGGCTGCTGCAGAGTGTGACCCAGGTGTCCCCACCTCCAGCTGTGGGTCCCTTATCGGAGGTCCTTCCAGGGGAGTGGCTGACGGCTCATGACTCACTTCCCTCAGTTTCACACGGGCCTGGGTGGGCCCGCTGGGGAATGGGCAGAAATCCTGCCCAGGGCACCCTGACACTGTTGGAGAGGAGCTTTACTGCAGGGAGGCTATCAACAGACACCCACTTCGTGTCACCAGCGGCCGCCTGGCTTCAGGCCCCACTCCACTCCCAGCTCTCTCCCTTCTCCAAAGGTTTGGCCATGCCTATCCCCCAGGTGCATCCCGAGCCAGACCCAGGCCCTTCAAGCCCCACTGGGCAAGCTCGGCTCACTGCAACCTCGGCTCACTGCAACCTCCGCCTCCTGAATTCAAGCAATTCTCCTGCCTCAACCTCCTGAGTAGCAGGGATTACAGCCTCCTGCCACCACGCCTGGCTAATTTTTGTTTTTGTTTTTGTTTTTGAGACGGCGTCTCACTGTGTCACCCAAGCTGGAGTGCAGTGGTGAGGTCTTGGCTCACTGCAGCCTCTGCCTCCCGGGTTCCAGCGATTCTCCTGCCTCAGCCTCCTGGGTAGCTGAGATTACAAGCACGCGCCACCACACCCAGCTAATTTTTGTATTTTTAGTAGAGATGGGGATTCACCATGTTGGTCAGGCTGGTCTCAAATTCCTGACCTCAAGGGAGACTAGATCTTATTTTATTTTATTATTTTTTTTGAGATGGAGTTTCCTTCTTGTTGCCCAGGCTGGAGTGCAATGGCACCATCTTGGCTCACTGTAACCTCCGCTTCCCAGGTTCAAGCGATTCTCCTGCATCAGCCTCCCTAGTAGCTGGGATTACAGGAGCCTGCCACCATGCCTGGCTAATTTTTTGTATTTTTATTACAGACAAGGTTTCACCATGTTGGCTAGGCTATTCTCCGAACTCCTGACCTCAGGTGATTCCACTCCCCTCAGCCTCCCAAAAGTGCTGGGAATTACAGGCTTGAGTCCACCCGCGCCAGGTTCAGATTCATTTTTAAAAAACTAAGTCGAGGTCTCACTATGTGCCAAGTGGTCCATAGAACTCTGGGCCTCAATCCTTCTCCTGCCTCAAGCCTCCCAACATGCTGGGAATTACAGCTGTCAGCCACCCGCGGGCCTTTTTTTTTTTTTTTTTTTCTTTCTTAGAGACGCAGTCTTGCTCTGTCCACTCACGCCTAGAGTGCCAATTGGCATGATCCTTCTTCTCACTGCAACCTCCGGCCTTCCCAGGTTTCAAGTAATCTTCCCTGCTCAGCTCTTCTGGAATAGTCTGGGATTACCAGGCACCCGCCCATCACGCCTGGCTAATTTTTGTATTTTTTAGTAGAGACGGGGTTTTTCACCATGGTTGGCCCAGGTGGTGGTCTTGAACTCCTGACCTTAGGGTGATTCGGCCACCTTGGCCTCCCAACAGTGCTGGCAGATTCAGGCAGGTTTGAGCCACCGAGCCCAGCCCTTGCATCCTTTTTAAAAGGTGTCAAATTGTGTATTATCTCCTTGCTTTTTTTTTTTTTTTTTTTATAATTTATTTTTTTGAGATGGGAGTCTCTCTGCAGTGTCGCCAGGCTGCGAGTGCAGTGGTGGCAATCTCAGCTCACTGCGAAGCTCCGTCTCCGCAGGTTCTGCCATTCGCTTGCGTCAGCCTGCTCCAGTAGCTGGGTGACTACAGGCTCCGCGCACACGCGCCAGCTAATTTTTTTTTTTTTTTTTTTTGTATTCTTAGTAAGACGGGCGTTTACTGTGTTAGCCAGGATGGTCCTCGATCCCCGACCTCGTGATCCGCCCCGCCTCGGCCTCCCAAGTGCTGGGATTACAGTTGTTGAGGCCACCGCACCCGGCCTTTTTTTTAAAAATTTATGTATTTAGTTATTTATTTTGAGACAGAGTTTCGACCTTGTTTTGGCCGTAGGCTGAGTGCAGTGGCGCAATCTCGGGTCACTTGCAGACCTTCCGCCTCCCGGTTCAATGATTCTCCTGGCCCTCGCCTCCTGAGTGAGCTAGGATACAGGTGGCATTGCCCACCATGCCCGGCTAATTTTTGTTATTTTTAGTAAAGCAGGGTTTCACCATGTTGGTCAGGCTCGGTGCTTGAACTCCTGACCTCAATGGAGATCCACCCCACTCCTCCAGTGGGAAAGCGCTTGGTAGCGCGAGGGCAACGGATGCTGGAATTACAGGCGTGAGCTTATGTTTTTATTTTTGCAGACATGACCTCTGTCTAGAGCTGCAGTGGCATGGTCATACTCACTGAGCAGCCTTGATTTAGCTGGGCTTCAGATGATCCTCCCCACCTCAGGTTCTTGAGTTAGCTGGGACCACAGACAGGTTGCGCAACACGCCTGGATAATTTTCTTTCTTTTCTTTTTTCTTTTTTTTTTTTTGAGACCAAGTCTCACTCTTGTTGCCCAGGCTGGAGTGCGCATGTGCACAATCTTGCTCAGCTGCATACCTCCGCCTCTTGGGTTCAAGCAATTCTGCCCTCAGCTCCCAAGCAGCTGGGATTCACAGGCATGTGCCACCACGCCCCAGCTATTTTTTTTTTTTTTTGTATTTTAGTAGAGATGGGGTTTCCCGTATTGGCCAGGCTGGTCTTCGAACTTCCTGACCTGAAAGTATCCACCTGCCTTGGACTCGCAAAAGTGCTGGGATTACAGGTGTTGAGCCACCGCGCCTGGTCACTAATTTTTTCTTTTAATCATTTTATTTTTGTAGATAAATATACACATAGCTCCTCCACTTATCCCTGGTCTGTAAGGCCTCCAGCTTCTTGCATGTTGCCCTAGGCTGGCTGATCTTGACTCCTGGCCTCAAGTGATCCTCCTGGCTCAGCCTCCCAAATGTTGGGATTTACAGGCATCAGCCCATGCACTTGGCTACGTTTTGCATTTTTGAGAGATGGTGGTCTTATTCTGTCACCAGGGATGCAGTGATGCAATCATAAACTCACTGCAGCCTAAACTCCCTGGCTCAAGTGGGATGCCTCCCACCCCAGCCTCCTTAGTAGCCCTGGGACTACAGATGTGTACCACCACGATCTGGTTCTTTTCTGCTTTTCTTTTTTTTTTTTTTTTTTTTTTGAGACGGAATCTCCCCTGTGTCTCCCAGACTGGAGAGCAGTGGCGTGATCTCGGCCTCACTGCAGCTCCACCTCCCCGGGTTCCACGCCATTGCTCTGCCTCAGCTCTCCGAGTAGCTGGGACTACACAGCGCCCGCCACCATAACCCGGCTAATTTTTTTGTATTTTTAGTAGTAGATGGGGTTCACCTGTGTTAGCCAGGATGGTCTCGATCTCCTGACCATTGGTGAATCAGCCCCGTCCTCGGCCTCGACCAAAAAGTGCTGGGATTATAGGCGTGACGCCACCACGCCCCGACCTATTTCTGCTTTCCTTGGAGGCAGTAGTACCTCTCCCATCCCTTACCCACTCAGGGGTTGCTGGGGGGGGCTGGGTCGGGTGGTTGGCTGGTCTTGGTCTAGGAGCCCAAAACATAGTGGACAGCGTCCATTTCCATTGCTGGAGAGGCCCAGGTTCAGTATGAGCTGGGGCAGGGGCTTGTGGGTCTCTTACTCCAGGGAACCATCTCCCTTGGAACCCAGTGAGCCCTCCATGCCCCACACACAGGTGGGAGTGAGGTGGCGCAGGTCTGCGCTGCCCTGTTGCAGGGGTGGGCCATCTATGGTGGCTGGTGAGGCAGAATAGGGAATGAGGTAGCCAGGTTGGCCATAAGCAACAGAACAGCAGGTGCAGCCAGTTGTAGCCAGGATTGGGCAGCACATCAGGCCACATCTGGCTCCCTGTGATAACGAGTACAGAAGTTTTCCAACTTCACCTCTGAATTTGGTCCCCTCGGGCCCAATCCTTCATAGGGTGGTCGGCCAATTGGAGGCCTCCTAAGGGCATAAGGGGTCGGGCCAGGGTTCT